GTAACGTCCAGCAGTATGCATGCAGTCGTCTCTGTAAACACGCTTATCGTGAGTCGTGGGAGGTTAAGCAACATGCCGTCATTCGCGAAGCTGCACCGCTGGCTCTGTGCTTTCCGTCACCTCCTAGACGAGCACCTTTGGTATTTGCAACAGGAATTTCAGGCTTCTTGACTTGATAGGGGGGAAAAAGCAGAGGCTGAAGGGCCACCCTGAAAACCCATCCCCATCAGGCGACTGCGAACCCTGCAGAAACAAACGAACACGTCGGTGCTGCTTTATGTGTGAAGTGAGGTGTGTTCTCTACCCTGTCAGCACGCCGTATTTTACTTGGATGAAGACCCTGGAACCAAGCTCCTCTGCAGGTTGTCGCAGCCACACCCGCCCTGCCACGCCCGCCCTGCCCAGCCAAGCAGCTGCGTCGCCCTCGCCCCTGCGGTGCCACAGTGGCTCCAGCCCGAGCTCACATTTAGGCAGCTCCAGCATCCGGGCCCATCCCCACCACATCCTCCGCGCTCCTTACAGGCCAAGTGGAACTGAGTCTGCGTTAAGCCAAAACCCCCAAGAAGAGAAATTCTGCATTTTGCCATGGCTGGGGGGACGGGCTTCCCGCTGCCTTCCCATGCCCTGTCCCAGGGAGAGCCCACGCACCTGGACTCAGGCGAGAGCAGAGTCTTGTAACTGAAGACGGGCAACTGCGGTAGAACCTGCTCATGTGTGTGCGTGTGCAGTGTGTGCGTGTGTGAGTGTGCAGTGTGTGCGTGTGTGTGCGTGTGTGTGTGTGCGTGTGTCTGTGCGTGTGTGCATAGTGTGCGCATGTGTGCAGTGTGTGCAGTGTGTGCGTGTGTGTCTGTGCATGTGCGTGTGCGTGTGTGTGTGTGTGTGTGTGTGTGCGTGTGTGGGAGCGAGAGAGGGAGGGGGAGAGAGTCAGCAGGAAGAAAGCCGAAGCAGCCACAATTACCACTTACTTGGTGCTGACCTGCGTCTGGCCGTCTCCCGCCTGCAACCACACAAAAGGCCTCTGCCTTCGCGCCCTTTCCCAACTCCTGCCTCCTTCCCCTCTGCAGACTCTCCTCCCCTGGAAGTTAACAGGTTTCAAGCGTCTTCATCTTGGAGGATTTCACAGCGGCCGGGCGGGGGTGGGTGCGGCCCCGTCTCCTCTGCTCCGCTCGCTCCGTTGGCTGGAGGGGGGGGGGGGGGTTGCTTGCCGGAGCGGGAGGGGGGGGGGGGAGGGAGGGTGTGTGTGGGTGCTTTTTTTTTTGTTGGCTTTTGTTTGGTTTGTTTCCCCCCTTTGTTTGTTTTTGTTTGTTTCTTCGTTAGTACCTACGTCAGGCCTGTTTATTGCTCTCCGTGCGTGGTTCGTTCTCGATCGTGTCCCTCCAAGAGCACGACTTTGACTTTGTTATGTTAACAGAACATTTGCCCCTTTTCCACCTAGAGCTCCTCGCAAAGCACTTTTCCATTAATTTGACGCTGGGAGGCACCATGCCCAAGCCCCCTCCTAACTCTTGAATTCTCCTCTGATGGGGGAGGAGATTCAAAGAGGGCGGAGGAGGGAAAGGGCATTTCCTCCACACTCCCAACACCCCGGGGAGGTCATTTGCCCTTCTGGGTCAAGCAAAGGCCCCTTTCACTCTGCTCCAGCTGGGGAAGCCGACCCCATGTGAACTATACCGAGGGGCTGCTCTGCCCTCTGGCTTCTTGTCAGGCTTGGCCCAGGGGAGCTCCAGCCAGAGCCTGCAGGGGGGCAGGAGAGCGAGGATGTGGCCGTGTGTCCCCAGCCTCCTCACTATGGCATCACATCAAGCCAGCTAGGTCCCTGACCAAAGGGACTCCTAAGTCTAAGTCTAAGATACAATCAGTTCTTCCTATACCCAAACTTTTCTTTGAGGCAATGAAAAATTCATAATAATCTTTAAGCTCTAGAATCTGCCCAGTGTCCAAGGTGTGCCTGGGACGGTCATGTTGACACCAACATAGACCACTTGTCCCTGTTTTACAAAGCAAAGCTCATTGTCCCTAACTTTGGGGATCCCAAGCTGCTCCCGAGCTGGGTCCTGGGACTGCGTGGTTATTTCATAAGCTTAGCCCACACAGAGCCTCAAGGGGAGAGTTCCTGACCCCCCAAAGATGTGTGTGAACTTCTTCAAGTGCCGGGACGGCATCCCTGCCAACGGTTCCTTTGTTGTTAACTCTTTGGGTTTGGTCCCGTCCGACTGGCGAAGAGTCCATTCAGCTCTGTGGAAGGACGGCACCTGACGACCACCCGTCTCTCCCCTGGATTGCTGCCGTGGCCCCCGCGTGGTCTTCCGACTTCTGGCCCCATCCCCCAACAGTCCATTCCCCACACAGCAGGAGTGAACTTGTGAAAACTTAAATCAGATCATGTCATTCCTCTACTTAAAACCCTCCAGTGGTTCTCTCCCCAGAGTTCAATCCCGAGTCTCTGAGGCCCAGGTCCTCCATGCGCAGCCTTCTCTCCTTACTAAGGGAACTCTGATCTGCCACCACGCCCTGCTGCCCGACCCGAGGACGGGGACTCCGTGCTGCCTTAGGGCTTGGGATTGGCTGTCTGCTCCGCCTCCAGTTCTCTGCCCCAGCCACCTGCATAGCTGACGTCATCTTTTCCCAAGGTTTTTTGTTTTTCGTTCCCCCCTTCGTTGGCCCCCTGCATAAAATAGCAACCCCTGCTCTTACCACCCTAGCATTTTCCATCCCCTGTAATCTTGATTTTCTCCATAGCACGTATCATTATCAGATATAGTATAGCTGTTATATATAATGCACAACAGAACTGTTATGAAATTAAGGTTTCATGGACATTCAATTGAATATAAGACGTTCAATTATATTTTTAAAGGCTTATCCATTTCAGTTTCCAAAATTATACGTGTGTATTTCATAGCCCCAGTCAGCGTTTCGATGTTAATAGGGTCAAAAGCTTTGTGCTAAAATCAAGTGTTGCTCAGAAAGATACGCACTGTGTATTAGAGTTGAAACGTAATAGTTTCAGGTGATTTCGCAGGCTTGTACTGCATTCGAAACATTAATATATTGGTCAAAAGAATTTGCAATGTTAGGATGTTCATTTTTATCCACCTTCTGCCCTCATTAAAGAGAAAACCCTTGGAAGAATGGCCGTGTTTCCTGATCTTAGTTGCAGATGCCAAACGGACGCGTGAACCAGTCGATTTGGTGCCATTTTTCGCTTGGCCTGCGCCGGCGACTGGAGCTCCCAGCCACGAGAACAGAACAACGGCGGCATGGAGCTTCCCGGCCCGGGCGGGCGGGCACGGCGGGGGGCGGGACCCCTCACACAAGCGGCACAGGTTCTGCCTGAAATGACAGAACACAAGCTCTGTCTGTCACGACTGCCGTGAACTACGAAAGGAATCTCAGTTGGAACAAAATACTCATTGCCTTTGAGATAAGGAGAAATTTTTTCGATCCTTCTAAAAATTGGTGTTAGGTTTAGAAGTAAACACCTTCCATTTAAAAAGGGACCCGTGACTTATATTGGCCCCGTGTGGCAGCCGGCATGCTGAGGTCTGAAACCAGGCAGTTGTGATGACGTCAGGCGGTTCTGCAAGAACCTCTGCGGTTGTCAGTTGTCGTCTTTGCCTGTAGGTGTCGCAGCTGAGCCAATGAGTGACCCACCCCCCAGGTGGCGCTCTGCTCCGCTGCTCCCTGAAAGTCACTTCTGCCCTTGCGGGGTGCATTTGCATTAAAATAGTATAATAAAAGTAAGTACCATGTATCAAAGTTAATTCTCATCTTTGCACAATAGAAAATATCTGGGAAGCTGCAAAAACATTCATGGGCCATCCCCAGCCCAGACCAATTAAATCAAAATTTCTGGGAATCAGGGATCAGGTATTGTTATTTTTAAAAAGCTACTTGAGTGATAACTGCTGTGCAGCCAGGTTTAGGACCCTGCTCTTGGTGGCCAAGGGCAGAATGTCTGGATCCAGATCATCCGGGTTCATCTCATCATTATTTACTTTTCCCGGCTGTGTGACCGTGGGTGAATCACTCAGCCTTTCTGTGCTTCACTTTTCCCAACTTTAAGACACAGATAATAATAGTGCCTAACTCAGAAGGCTGTTGTGAAGATTAAGTCAATTAATGGATAATTATTTAATAAGTGTTGGCTGTTTTTATATTTAATGAAATCGTGGACAACCCTTGAGAGTCTCCAGAAAATTCTTTCTGTGTCTACTCAGAAGCTGTCGGGAATGTGCATGGTACAGAACAGAGCCTCTTCTATCCTGAGCAGCACAGGTAACTATATGTCCGCTGATTTGGGTTCTAATTTATTTGAACCACCTCTTGGGGCCTGGTCCTCGAACTTCCCGTGCCCCTTGTTCCTCTGCCCAAACACTGTGGTTCTCCTGTCTCCAGCATCTCGCAGACGTTGTTAACAATCGATGCACTGCAGCTGCTGCTTTGTTACATAAACACTAGGTCAAGAGCAAGACCCTGAGAATTTGGCTCCGACCGCTGAAACAGATGGCCACCAAGCCTTCCAGAGGCCACGCTCCCCTCATATTTATTTACCTGGCAGGCGGCAGAAGGAGCCCGTTTTGCTTTATGTGCAAAACTTTTCTCCCAGGCCAATTTTCTGGAGCCCCCGATGACATATCGCAAGATGAAATGAAAGTATCAAGAACAGCCATTTATTCCTGAAATACATCTTCTGAGAGCTACAGATATCTACCACGTCGACCTCTCTTAGCCTGAACCTGAGCTGTCACCCACGTTAAATTACTTTCTAAATCAGAGGTAAACTTTATATCATAAAATAGCATTCATAGCCACATCAATCCAACCAGAAATCTGCATTACTCTCTTGACCCGAACTCCTAGGTATCCACAATTCACAGATCGACCAGCTTCGCCCTATCAATATGCCTCGCCCTGGCGGTGTATTACGCTAACATATTACTGGGGCCGCAGCTCGCTCCTGATGTGTAAGAGCAATGCGTTAGGGGGGCCCGGCTCACCTGGGTGACGCATGGCGGAGACGGTCGTCTGGGGGAAGCTCGCTGGTGATGTACGGCCCGCGCAAGGGCACCGGCCGGGAGAGAGCGAGCTCAGAGTGGGCTCTGTGTACCTTGTGGAGGCAAAGAGAAGCCCGACTGGGATCCCACCAGGCCACGTTCCCACTGGCCTCGCAAGGCCCCCCGCCATTTGCAGGAGAGCGAGCAGTGGCACACACGGTTAGCAAGCTAGGTCTTCACTTTTGCTTTAGAAATGATTTTTTGCAATTACTATAAATCTCTCCGGAGGCTTGGATGAAAACAAAGACACGTAGATGTTATTGTCGTTTTTCAGATGTGTGCTATATTTCATAATAAAATTAATAAAGGAAATTGCATAAGGATATCCATTTCACTAATTTTTAGATGATCGGGCAATGGGGAAAACCGCAGATGTGTGCCTCAAAAGGGGGATATCCAAGAACGTTCATATCAGCATTACCGTAAAACCCAACCGAAGAACGACACGCGGTCCCTCAGCGGTAGAACGGAGCGTCGATCAACTGCGTCCACAGCAGTCCCCGCAGCAAACGGCAACAGCATTTTTCAGCTCATGATTCTATGACCGGTTGTTCTAGGCCGGGCTCTGGAAGGCTGAAGGGGGGGCGCTGCTCCACAGGCCCCTCATCCTGCTCCTAGGACAGGCCTGCGCCTGCTTGTCTCGCGGCAATGACAGGCAATGACAGAGAAACAAGCACTAGCACTAGCGAGCACAATCCTTTTCTTTTTAGAGACAAGATGTCACTCTGTTGTCCAACCTGGAGTGCAGTGGCTCAATCATAGTTCATTGTGACCTCCCATTCTGGGGCTCAAGCGATCCTCCCACCTCAGCCTCCCGAGTAGGACTCTGGGAGCATGTGACCATGCCTGGTTATTTTTTTATTATTATTTTTGTAGAGACGGGGTTTCACAGTGTTGCCCAGGCTGGTCTCTAACTCCTGGCCTCAAGCAATCCTCCTACCTTGGCTTCCCAAAGTGAAGCCCAAACTTCAGAGCACTTTTTTTTCCCCAAGATTGCATCACTTCTGCTATTATCATCTTAGCCAAAGCAAGTCACAGTGGGAAGGCACCGAAAAATTACGTGACAAAGGGTATGGACACAGAGAGGGTGGTCAATAGTGCAGTTTCATCTCCATTTATTATTAATGCAATAATAAATCTAATTTATTGTTTGACAAATTGTGATAATTGTACAATGGAATACTATACAGCAATGAAAAACAAATGAACCACTGCTATAGACAGCAACCTAAATCTCACAAAAATGTTGAGCAAACGAGATTAAGCACAGAAGAATTCATAGGGATGCTTCCACTTACATAAATCTCAGAAACAGGCACCACTATTAATGGTGTTAGGAGTCAAGGTAGGGATCACCTTTGGGACGCAGTGACTAGAAGCCGGCACCAGGAGGGCTTCTGGGAGTTTGTGATACTATTTATCTGGGCAGCGGCTACTCTGAGTTGTTCACAGAGTGAAAATTCTTGCAGGACACATAATTTCTGCATTTTATGTATTTGTTATGCTTTGATTAAAAAGAAAATTGAAGAAAACTGAACATGCCAAGTAGTAATGTCATGCCAAGGGCAGATATTATAAAAAATAAGACATTTAAGAAGAAGACATTTCAAACATGAATGCCTTAAAGTTCATGCCAAGCACATACATGATTTCATGCTGATACGCAGTGACAGCAGCACAGATACTCAGAGGGGCAAAGGAAGGAAGGGGCTTCCCCCAGGAGTTGGTCGAGTCCTGCTTGTCTACAGCTTTATCAAAAACGCTTGCTGACTGGTTACAAACTCAAACGAAACCAGGGAGGATTTGAGTCTGGGAGCAGCATCTACGCTTTCCGAGTGCTGCGTTAATGAGCGAAAGGCTCAATATTCTCCAGCAGACCTAGGTTCTAATCTGGGCTCTACCTACTTTCTGACCCTATGACCTAGGAGAATTGCTCACTGCCTCAAGCCTCAGTTTCTTTAACTAGGCTGGTAAGGACAACAATAGTATCTCCATGGTAGAGCTGCTTAATGATTAAACGAGCAGTTGCATATACTCTGCTTAGCTTAGTCATTGCCCCATAGTAAGTGCTCAACAAATGTGAGCTCTCGTTATTATCTAGCTACCCACCCACCCATCTATCCATACATCCGTCCATCTATCCATCCACCCACTTGCCCACCCTCCCATTCCTCCACTCATCATTCAACCCTCTCTGCCTTCATCACTCCATTCACCAAGATTTATAAAGCAGGGTGGCACTTGGAGTTTACAAACCTGTATTTGAGGCCTAATGATTCTGTCTCCTTGTGTGATCTTGGACAAACACTTCAAATTCTCTAAGTTTTTTGTTTATTCTTCTGTAAAATGGGGAAGAGTGATCGTCCTTACATTGCGAAGCTACTATGACAATAAACGATTCATTAAACTCCCCTCAGGCAACAGTCCTACTCATTGGGGTGACAAGGCCTGTATGAAAAATGGAAGATGTGCCACAGTTGGAAACACAGACGACCTATGAAGCAGCACCTCGCACACTGTAGACTCCTATTTTCAGCTTCCTACTGGGTATCACACCTTCCCTCCATTCAACAGACCTAAATGTCTCCTCTTTTTTTTTGGAGACAGGAAGCACTCAAAAAAAAAAAAAAAGATCGTTAAATGTATTAACTCTGTAAAAAATGAGTTCTCAGAATTGACTACAAGCACATCAAAGTTTGATTCAAAGTTGCTGCCAGGGAAAAGCCTTTTGAGCAAGTTAGTTCTCAAAAATCAGCCCCTTTTGGTAGAGACATTTTATAGGCAAGAGAATTGTTAGAGAATCGTTATTAGGTTAGGTTAAAAAAAAGTCTGGTTAAAGAGTATTCAGTTAGTCAGCTGAGTAACCCCAGCTTCCCAGAAGTTCATCATTTTGTTCCAGCAGAACATTGCTCAAGCATTTTATCAGGAATGCTAATTCCTTCCCTGAAGGAGGTTGTAAATTACATCATGGAAAAGTTCTACCCTAGACTGGATTTGAGGCAGTTTTCTTTTTCCATTCTTAAATTACTTCATTGTCCACTTGTTTCTGCTAGATTGTGTGGTGGGGAGGGAGGTTTGGTTTCAGAGAAGAAAGTAGGGAAAAAACCTGAACCCAACTCCAGGAGCTTAAAGAAGCCTTTCTCCCTTTCCTGTTCTTGAGTGGTGATAGACAGGGTTCATCTGACTCCCCTGAGGGGTTTCCAGCAGGGGAGGTGACCTGGAGGACACAGGAGATGATATTCTGGAAGCTCTCAGAAGCAGCAGGTTCTGGGCAGCAAGCGAGTGGGACCAGGGAGGGAGGAGATGGGGGCTGCCCCACGAGTGGCATAGAAGGGC